GAGCGGGGCTGGGATGCTTCAGAGCCCGAAAACATCTCCATGATGGGCTGCGTCGGGCAGTGCTGTTAGTGCTGGCTCAGCACCAGGGCTCCCTAGCATCAGCCAGGATTTTTAGCTGGGTTGCAGCTTGCTTTGACTGAGTCCGTGCCTGTAAGTCCTTAGGGAAAACCTGCACGGACTGGGGCAGCTCCCAGCAGCCGGATCCAGCTCGGCACCCTCCAGCTGCTTCTCTCCTTTCCCAGCCTGCATCCCAGCACACGGGGCTCTTTCGTCATCCTCAGAAAGCCAAATTTGAGGGAGAATCTCCTAAAAAACACTGAGCGCCGCCTCCGGTTACTTTTCCTGGCATCGACCTGCACAAGGCGCGGCGAGATGGTGCCGTTTTAGACTCAGCGGGGAAGGAAAAAGTCAATGGCGGAAGCATATTGTTAATTTGACCCCAATTGTCAGAGGTCCCGAGCCCACCTGGCTCCTCTCACCGGGACAGGGATGGGAGATGACATTCCCAAATTCCCCCTGCCCCTGATCTGGGGGGCTTGGGAGGGGGGGGGCAAGAGCGCTCGCCAGGGCCAGGCTGTCTCCCACCGGCTCGGCAGGACAGATGGACGCTCTGCGCCAGGGCGTCAGAGCCGGTGCACTGATTTGGGCAGACGACTTGGCACAAATACCGCCTCTGCCCAGGGCCACCTGGAGAAACACAACAAAGGGGACAAGGAGGAGGAGGAGGAGGAAGGAGGAGGAAGGCGACGCCTTCATCCTCCTTGGCTCCGACATCTCGTCTCCTGTACAAAGGCTGGTTCAAAGGCAGCAACCCCAGCACGAGCAGAGGCAGAGGTGGCCAAGCCCACAGCATCTATCCTGCCTTCCCAAGGGATGGGGCCATCCCCTGGTCCTCAGGGCTGCCTGTCTAGAGGGTGCAGACTCCAAAAGAGAGCAAGAATCTCCAGGTAAGTGGGTTAAACTGGAGGGTCTCCAAGGGAAAGGAGATCTATCTTAAAGGGGACCAGCATCACAAAGGCTTGAACTTGGTGCTTGGAAGGCAGATGTGATGTGGCTTTCTGCAGGAGGCACAGCCCGGTGCCCATCTTTCCAAGCTATGGGTTTGCCATTGCCACCAGCATGTCCAAACCCACCCATTTTTGTGAGCAAGGAGCTATTGGCCCTACGAGAGCAGCTGTGGAGAGCACCCAACGCTCTTGCAGGTGGCTCTGTGGAGGTATCAGCTACCTCCTGGCCAGGAAGACCAAGTCTTTGGGATCACCAGCTGGGCAGGGAAGGGTTAACCACCCAGCAACCCAAAAATCCCCTAAAGAAGAGGGGTGCGGGTGCTGCCCTGCTGAAGGTGAACCCAAGCGCCATTGTCTGCAGACACTGATGGGAAGCGACAGGCGAGAGGACACGCTGGGCTGGCAGCATTATTGAATCCGATTAGCCTGCCCAGGACTTCACTCGGGGAAAGCCATTAACCTCTGGAACAAGAACAGCAACGCTCCCTCCTTCACTCCCCTAACCTTTCCTCCCAGGCATTGGGAGCTCCTCCTCCCCGGGGATGAACCACATCCCACAGGTGGGGAAACTGAGGAAGGAGATGGGGGGAGAGAGCGGATGGGGGTTACGCAGCTCCCCAGGGCACCCGGTCCCCGGGGAGAGCATCCTCCGTGATGTGCAAAGACAGAGCATGTGGGCGCGGAGAGGAGGAGGAGAAGGAGGAGGAGGAGGCAGCAGCATGCACGCAGGCCAGATGGCCGGGTTTAATCACTCGTCCTCCCGCATCAGGCTCCCACGGCTCCGCGCTGGCACTGCCGCCCGTGCCAGGGCTGCGGGCCTGGGCTTGGGCTCACTCAGTGCCCTGGTCCCATGAGTTCGCAGGGGTTTGGGTGTGTATTCATCCGTATAAATCTGAAGGAAATGCATTTTGACTGCCTTTAGAGGAGAGAAATATCCCTGCTCCGGCTGGGAAACCACAGCTTCGGGGTGCTGCATCCTGGAGCAAAGAGATCGAGGGAGTGGAAAATAGCACAGAGGCAAGCGCACGGGGATTTCTTTCCTAATATCTGCTCTGGAGCTGGCACGGGCACCCTGTCCCCTGAACCTCTCGCCATGGTGTGGCTGGGGGTGCCGGTCCCAAAGCGGGCGCAGACCCAAAGCAGAGGGTCCCCAGCACGCACCTGCAAAGAGCAACCCAGGGAGGCGGAGGCAATACAGTAACAATTATTGTAATGAATGAAACACACTAGTGATTTTTATGATAATTCACCATCTCGTGGGCGACTTGGCATTTGGCTGGCCTCCTCCAAGTAATATTTTATTTATGGGCTCCCTGAACATGTTGATACAGCGTGTTTCGCTCCAAGACAATCAAAATTCAACGCACGGGGGGAAGGATCGAGACGGAGAAACGTGTGCTCTGCTGGCCTCTGGAACCAGCTGGATCCATCTTTTCGGGGTGGCTGGACATCTGCCCTCGCCACACTTTCGGCTGGCACTTCTCAGAGGTGAAGGGATAGAGCAGCTCTGGTTTCGAGGGGCGGCAGCTTCACACCGGCTTCTGGCTTGGCTGCCCCATCACCCCTCTTCCCTGCCCCAGCAAGCCTGCCCGTCCCCCGCTTTTTACTCCCTGGCAAATTTTGGCAGGGG